TTTTTTTTTTTTTTTTTTTTGGTACTGGGGATCGAACTCGGGACCTTGCATTTGTAAGGCAAGTGCAGTGCCACTGAGTTAAATCCCTGGCAAGTTGGTACTGATTTTAAGCTTTTATTCCCAGAGCAACTCACTTATACTCTCAGAGTCACCCCCACCTCCATCTGTAAAATGGGATGACTATATCCACCAGCTTCCTGGTGACATCACAGAGAGGAGAATTCTGAGAGGAGAACTACACAGTTGCCTTTGACCTAGCTTAGGAGAGAATGGAAAGCTAAAAACGGGCCTATGATTTCCAATTCTTAAACTCTCTTCCTTCCAGGGCTCCCAGTAAAGTCATGGGTGAACCCTCAAAGACTGAAAAGGCTCAAAATGAGCATGCCACCAACAATTTGGATATACTTTCTCACTCCCACTCATCATCCCCATACCACAGGCCAAATCAAGACGGACCCCACCATCCTCACGAATCCCATCACCTCAGAGGAGGTCATCACCATAGTGAGTCCCACCATCACAGAGAACCCCGTCAAGACTTCCATGACAGTGCTTTTGCCCATTCTCACCATGGTAAGGCTCCTCCTCATGACAGGGCCCACTATCCCACATCCCTTGGTTGGGGTCCCTCCTCTGCCATTAGCCATTCCCATCATCCTTATGGTGAAGACCACTTTGATGATGAACATCGCTCTGGTAGTAGGATACAACATGGTGGATCTCATTACAATACTGAGTCATACCTCCCTGTTGGGCCTCACCATGGTGGGCCCCACCACCTCACTGGGTCATACCACCATGGTGGGCCCCACCATCACACTACTTCATACCACCATGGTGGGCCCCACCACCACACTGAGTCACACCACCATGTTGGGCCTCACCATGGTGTGTCCCACCACCACACTGACTCATACCACCCCAGTGGACCCTACCACCATTCTGGGTCAGACCACCATGGTGGCCCTCATCACCATGCTGAGTCACACCACCATGTTGGGCCCTACCACCACTCTGGGTCAGATCACCACGATGGGCCCCACCACCACACTGAGTCATACCACCATGGTGGGCCCTACCACCACCCTGGGTCAGATCACCACGATGGGCCCCACCACCACGCTGTGTCAGACCACCATGGAGGGCCCCACCACCACGGCAGGCATCACTACTATGGTGGGCATCAACACCACCAATCCCCCAGTGTGTCCTACCAACACGGCGAGACCTCCTACCCTAGTAGACTCCAGTTACCTGGTGTATCACAACGCCACAGTGAGTATGGCCATGATGGTGGGCTCCACCACCAAAGACCCTCTTACCACCATGAAGATTCCTACCACCCTGGTGGGCCCTACCATCACAGTGAGGACTACTACCACAGTGGGTTCCAACATCATGAGCGCCACCAATACAGTAGACTACATCCTTATGAGTTCCACCACCACAGAAAGCATCTTCATCGTGAAGAGAGCCTTTTCAACCAATCCTCTGAGGAGTCCTACCACCATGGCACACCCCACTTCTACAGAGAAAGTTATCATGGCAGTCACCGCTCCAGTGAGGACCACCATGGTGAGCACCACCACCATGGCGAGCACCGCCACCATGGCGAGCACCACCACCATGGCGAGCACCACCACCACAGGGAGCATCACCATCAGGAGCATCACCACAGTGCACATCGTTATGATCATCTCCATGGTGATTCCTACAGGGACGACCGCAGGAGCAGCTCTCAACTCTTTGTCCAACACAAGCCCCACAGCATAACTGGGTCCACTCCTCATCAAGAGCTCACCAAGAGCTTGCCCCACAGTGAGCAGTCCCATCCTGCAGTTCGCTCACGTGGCTCTCAGGCATCCAACAAAGTTCATCCTCAGGACACATCTTTCAAACACTCAGAAAGCTGGTCTGAAGATGAGCAATATCAGAGGCAAAAAAGTGAGTCTTTTCTGGGTCTCCAAATCCCAATTCCCCCTTCCTAACCCAAAGTCGTGCAGATCTAGCCCAGCTGGCGTGAGTATATTCTATCAGCTCTTCACTCTCCCTCTGTTCCTCCGCCCATTCTTTATTCCTTGAATTTTGTACCTCTAGACACCGTGAGATGTTTCTTCATTCATTCTTTCTTCACTCTTACATTTGCTTCTCAAATATCAAGGCTCTTGTCAAACATGGGTACCCCGGCTTACCTGAGTCCAGACAGTACGGGGGGAAATCCAGCACCATCCTTAGTCAGGGAGGGGTCACTTAACCAATCACAGGCCATCCAGTGATGGGGCCTGTCATTTTCCACATTAGAATATTTGCTTCTGTGGACTCTGTGTGTCCACATTTCCTCCACTAAACTGTGAGCTGCTAAAGACAGAGATGGGAACTAGTTCCTGAATGAGTACCTTTTTTTTTTTTTTTTTTTTTTTTT